TTCGATGGAAACTATAACGATTGGCTGCGTTTCAGGGACACGTTCGAATCATTAATTCATAGTAACTCTTCACTCTCAGACATTCAACGGTTTCATTACTTAAATTCCGCCCTGAAGGGCCCCGCGGCTCGTACAATCCAATCGTTAGGCGTGTCAGACAGCAATTATAAAGTAGCATGGGAGAGCCTGAAGAGTCGCTACGAGGACCCTGTTTCGTTGATTCACCACCATACGAATGCGTTATTAGAATTAGCATCAGTGAAACGACACAGTTCGTCCTCACTGAGAGAATTTATAGATTCGGCAAAAAATCATGTTCTTGCGTTAGGAGCGTTAGGTGAACCAGTGAACACATGGGACACTCTATTGGTTCTTGTCTTATCGAAAAAGCTAGATCCGATTACACAGAGGGAATGGGATAAGCATTTAATTAAGCGTTCCGAGAGACTAGGATTCAGAGATTTCGTGCAGTTTATCGAACAACAAGCTAAATTCCTTGAACGAACGATGATCAACACTCAACCTCCAATGTATGCTTCCAAACCACTCCATAAGGGTAGGACAACTTCCGACCCAATAGCCACCCATGTTTCAAGTGCGCAGAATAATTGTGCCTTATGCAAGGGCAACCATCAACTGCATCATTGTGCTAAACTATTAGCAATGCAGCACCCAGAACGGCACGAGACAGTGAAACGCCTTCAATGCTGTTTCAACTGTCTCGCGCTAGGGCACAGCATAAAGGGTTGTACTCGAGGCGTTTGTAGAAAGTGTGGAAGAAAACATCACACACTGCTACATCGAGACGAAGCAACCACAGACCGGGAAAAACCCTCAAATCGCGTATCCGAAGTGACCTCTGTTCGTGACCATGAGCAAGATAGACCCTCGACATCCGGTATACAATCATATATCTCGAATTCAAGGGAGTCCACCGTAGAATATACCGTGCTATCCACCGCAATTGTTTATATCGAAGATGCAAGGGGTAACGCACACGAGTGTCGCGCGCTGCTAGACGTCGGACCGCAAGTCCATTTCATTACCAATAGTTTTTGTGAAAGGTTGGGCCTGCCAGCCTCGACAATAGATGTGACCGTGGGGGGTTTAAGTAGAGTAGCTAATTCTGTCAAACGCAAAACAAACGTGACGATAAAATCGCGCTGTGGTAATTTTAGATCAGATTTATCTTGCTTGGTAATAAAAAATATCACCGAAGACATGCCCAACGTACCAGTAACCCGAGAGGCACTTACCACTCCTTCTGGAATTTTGCTCGCGGATCCGCAATTTGACCACCCCAGTCGGGTTGACCTGCTAATCGGAGCCGGCCTGTTTTGGAAATTGCTGTGTATTGGGCAGCACAGGACAGGACAGGGTAATCTGGTGTGGCAGAAAACTCGACTCGGGTGGATATTAGGGGGAGCACTGACCTGCCCACGTAGTACGAAGAGGGAGGGGGTTAGTGCGTGCCATCTTGCAACCGACGACAAACTTCAGCTTGCAATAGAGAAATTCTGGGAGGTTGAAACGCAGGGTTGCTCCAACAACACCCAAACACATCCTCCAATCACAGACGCTGAAAGACATTTTACAGACACGACACAACGCGACACGGACGGACGGTATATAGTAGCAATCCCAAAAGGGGATAACATAGAACAATTAGGAGAATCGCGAAGTCAGGCGGAAAGACGCTTGATTGGGATGGAACGGCGATTTTCTAGAAATCCGGAACTTCGCGAGCAATATTTAGCATTTATGGCCGAATACGAAACCCTGGGTCACATGACACGCGTGGATGTAGATGACAATGACCATTCAAAATCCAGTTACTATTTGCCTCACCACGTAGTATTTAAAAATTCAAGCACCACCACAAAAATTCGTGTTGTTTTCGATGGCTCCGCAAAGACTTCGTCAGGTATCTCATTAAATGATACTCAGTTAGTTGGTCCCACCGTGCAGAGCGATTTGTTTTCCATTCTTCTCCGGTTCAGGAAACACCGCTTCGTTCTGTCTGCCGATATTGAAAAAATGTACAGACAGATTCGCGTTTGTCAGGAAGATCGCAGACTGCAACGCATACTCTGGCGCTCGAATCCAAATTCACCTATTCAAACATATGAATTGAATACGGTGACCTATGGCACGGCCGCGGCTCCATTTCTGGCTACACGCGTCTTGAGTCAAATCGGTCGCCAACACGCGGAATCATTTCCAATAGCAAGTCGCGCAATCATACAAGATTTTTATGTGGACGACCTGCTTACTGGATGCGAAACCATTGAGGAGGCTTTTGAATTGCGTCATAGTCTCATAAAAATATTAGAACAATCAGGTTTCACTTTGCGAAAATGGGCTAGCAATAACCCGTCCATAGTCACGGAAATGAACGAAAACAGGGGCGCTGTCACAATAAAAACCGCCGATAGGGACCCGAAAACCCTAGGATTACTGTGGACCACGGAATCAGACGAGCTCCACTACGCGGTAAAAAGTTATTCATCCAATCGCATCACGAAACGCGTCATCTTGTCGGAAATCGCTCAGATCTTTGATCCACTCGGACTGCTTGAGCCTATAATAACCAAGGCCAAGTTGATAATGCAACAACTGTGGCAGATCCATAGTCACGGAAATGAACGAAAACAGGGGCGCTGTCACAATAAAAACCGCCGATAGGGACCTGAAAACCCTAGGATTACTGTGGACCACGAAATCAGACGAGTTCCACTACGCGGTAAAAAGTTATTCATCCAATCGCATCACGAAACGCGTCATCTTGTCGGAAATCGCTCAGATCTTTGATCCACTCGGACTGCTTGGGCCTATAATAACCAAGGCCAAGTTGATAATGCAACAACTGTGGCAGAAACGGGCAGGCTGGGATGAAAGTTTGCCCCAACTCATCCACACACAATGGTCGCGATTTCGAAGCGAATTGCTTAATGTCGGGTCAATAACAGTTCCAAGATGTGTAATTAGTAGCAATAAGGTACGAATTGAGATGCACGGGTTCTCCGATACCTCTGAACGTGCATACGGAGCTTGCATCTACCTGCGCACTCTAGTTAACACCCATGTATGGGTCAGCAATTTATTGTGTGCGAAGTCACGAGTCGCGCCGTTAAAATCGATCACTCTACCACGGTTGGAATTATGTGGAGCATTGCTGCTAGCTCAGCTAGCAAACACTGTGAAACATGCACTTCAGCTTGACATTGACGTGGAACATTACTGGACTAACTCTACGATTGTCCTCGCGTGGATCAGAGATCAGCCGACAAGATGGAAAACATTTGTCGCAAACCGCACCTCTCAGATTCAGTAATTAACTGACCCCAATCACTGGCACCATGTGTCATCATCCGACAATCCCGCGGACATTATTTCTCGGGGCGCGACGGCAATGGAATTAAGGGACAACAAGTTGTGGTGGCACGGGCCGACCTGGCTTACACAAGAAGCCGCCCAATGGCCATCCGGAGACGTCATTGTAAGGGATATACCTGAGGCACGGCAGACTGACACTACCTGTTTGTCGATGACAGGTATATTAGAATCAGACTCTTTTGATTTACCCACGCGGTACTCTAACTATGCACAGTTACAACGCATCACAGCTTACATTCTTCGATTCATAAACCGACTAAAAACTAGACTTCGCGATCGCACCTCCGGAACCACAACCCCAAATTCCAACAAACCCACCCTGTATCATTTGACGACATCTGAGCTTGCAGAGGCAGAACGATTGTTGATCAGACTTGTTCAAGAAAAATGTTTTGCTACCGAAATTAAGGCATTAAAATCAGAGACACCAGTTGCACATTCAAATAAAACTCGATCGCTTAACCCCTTCCTAGGCTCTGACGGATTAATCAGGGTGGGCTGACGATTAAGGAATGCTCCGATACCGTATGCTCACCGTCACCCAGTATTGTTACCCGCTGATCATAGATTTACCATTACGCTCGTTGAATACGAACATCGTAGATTGCTTCATGCCGGTTGCCAAGCAACACTTGCGTCATTACGCACTCGTTTTTGGCCGCTTGGTGGTAAACGCCTAATAAAAAAAATTCTGCATAAGTGCATTCGATGTTTCCGAACAAAGCCAACGGGTTCAAGCTATCTTATGGGAAACTTACCCGCTGCCCGGGTTACAGCGGCACGCGCCTTTGCTACCTGCGGAGTGGACTACGCAGGTCCCTTTCTAATAAGGGAAAGGGGACGCGGAAGGGTGGCCCATAAGACCTATATTTGTCTATTTATTTGTTTTTCGACCAAGGCCATACACATCGAACTGGCAATCGATCTTAGCAGCGACGCATTTTTAAATTGTCTCTACCGGTTCATCTCACGCAGGGGAAAATGTCATTCTATTTATTCAGACAATGGGACAAATTTTGTAGGAGCAAGGAACGAGTTGAATCAGCTCGGTGCCTTGCTAAGGGATGAAACCCACAATAATCATGTTCGAACATACTTAGCACAAGAACAAATAGAATGGCATTTGATCCCACCACACGCACCACACTTCGGAGGACTTTGGGAGAGTGCAGTGAAGTCCGTAAAAACACACCTAAAAAGGGTCACTGGTGAACAATGCTTGACGTTTGATTAATTTTACACTATTTTAATACAAATTGAGGCATGCTTAAATTCCCGACCACTCCAACCCCTTTCCCATGACCCAATAGACCTCACACCCTTAACTCCAGGCCATTTCCTTATCGGCGATGCTCTGACAACTGTTGAGCGCAACGATTTATGGCACGGACGTGGGAAAGAGGCTGTTTTTGAGATTAGGATTTTTGGTTATTGTTAACATGAGTGTCGAGTAAAAAATATCCTGACGAGATAAAGTTCGATTTACAACTCCAGAGTTTTAGAAACTCATTTCTCTCGTCCTCAATAGCTAAGTACCTTGCCATAACAAAGGGTCTTCCAAAGGGTCGACATATACAGTCTCGACGGTCAAGAGACCGGCGAAGTCGAACCTGGCGGAAGTTCCCCGCTATTGCCAGACATCGCCACCCCCTCTCCAAGGTAACGCGCGTTGAGGGCGCAAGAGAAGGGTGTTGTGATGGGGGAGGCGGCGGTCTCCTTCTGTGAACAGGTTTCTCCTACTTCTCTCGTATTACGTTTCTTCGGCTGAACGCGAGCAAGAAGACGAAGAAGAAAAAACGAAGAAAAAGGAGGGAGGATAGAGTGAAATTCTTGCTTGGCACGATCGAACGGCAACGGTTATTTTTGAGTTCAGGATTTCGTTTACTGCTTGTACGTGTCTAATTACAACCTGGCGAGGGTCACTAGAATTGCTTGTTGGATTTTTAGTAATTTCTGTCCTTCGCGCTCAATAGCCTACGAACATGCCATAAACCACGAATTTCCGAACGGCACATCTACCTGTAACGGTACGCTTGCCGATGAGTCACCCGGAGGAAATTCCAGCTTTTTGGGACTTTCCGCCCACCCCACGCGGCCGTCTCCCACCCTGCCAAGGTGACAGCGCGCTAAGGGCGCACTGGAAGGGCGGTGAAGACGCTATTAGACACCCTGATTGGTAAATGTAATGGTTAACTATTTAACCAATCAGCGTGCTCTAACTAAAAACTCTCCAACGGACGTCCGAGGAACGACGTCGACGGTCAGTCGTCCAACAAACACCAAGTAGCAACCAGCTAAAATTGTATCGATCTCACTAGTCCCAGTATAACTGGGTGGTCCTTCGAGAAGGTTTTGAATTAAAGTCGGCACACCACGTGCAAATACAATCCAAGTCCGAAAGTTGATTTTGAAACTATCACGGGCATTAACACTGAGATTTGAATGTTGCATTCGTTTGCCTGGTAATTGTCGAAGACATGTTATTGGTGCCGCTAAGGGGAATTATAGTCCGCTGGAGTGTTTTTTTATTTTATTTTTTTATTTATTGTTAATTGGTTTAGGCAGAAGCCTATTACAATCTTGTGTTATACATATGTGTTTGTAGTACCATGGTATTCTAGGGTATTATATTTATACTTATACTATATTAAACTATTAACTTTAAAATGAGCCTATAGAAATATGTAGGTAAAACAAAGATATAAGATTTAAAATTTAAACTATGACTAAGAAAAATCTTTGGTTGAGCGATTTTCAGTTCCATTGCATCTTGGCATTTAATATGAATCATTCATCTAGGCAGAGTGCTCTGATTCTTATTGCACTATTCGTAGAGTATTGCATCTTCTTTACGTCTTCTTCAGCATCCGATTTAAGGATCTTTGTGATGCTTTCGTACTTAACCCTCTATGGGCTCATGTAACTTTCAGGTCACATGCTAATTTATCGACATTTTACTAAATAATTTTAGTTTTTTTTATGAGATGGCATACACATCTTAATTCTATAATGTCTCCGAGACAACCAATACCAATATTCATGACGGTTGCTAGTACCATCAACCTGAAATAACAAAACAAATGCCGTGCAAACTGTCTGCAGTAGAAGCAAGCGAAACCATTTGTTCCAATTGATATTATTTGTTCTTCTGTCGGTGTTTACCGAACAAAAAATAGTGTATATAATAGCTCTGGGTTTGTATATCAATAACAACTTATTAGTTTGCATTTCAATTATCATTTTGTTACTATTTTTTTATGATACAGTTCCGTAACTTTGAGGTTATAGTGGGCTATTATGGCAGATTTCGGTATATTTAGGATAAAGCTTGTGCTTTCTCCTGTTTTCAGATTTATACATCATATACCCAAAATATGAATGCAAAATCAGATAAAAATAAAAGAGGAATTAGAATTAGATGCATCAGCGGTAATAGATCAGAAGATTCATTATTAGATTCTGAGTCCGATGAAGATTTAATAGTATTTCCCCGACGACGGATAAATATAATGGACAGTGACGAAGAATTTAATGAGGAAAATTCAGGACCACAAAGAATTGTTTGGCAACAATATCCCAGATGAATAATAATAGTTGTCATCGCCCTTGGAAAGGAGATTGCCCTAATGTCCCCGAAGCGCCCCATTCTCCTGTGACCTATTTTCGAAAACTATTTGACACGGAAATTATAAGTGATATAGTTGACTATACCAATACGTATGCATTGCAATGTGATCCAGCAACACCCATAGCTGTTTCAGCGAACGAAATAGAACAATTCTTTGGTTGCAGTTTTTTTATGTCTATTTACGGGTTACCAAGATCTGAAATGTATTGGAAGTCAGAGACCAGAGTGTCTGCTGTTGCCGATACTATGAGTCGTACGCGATGGAAAGAAATAAAATCCAAAATACATTTTAGTAGAAATTTACAGGCTAATCAAACAATTCAGAGGTTACGGATAGTTTACAAAAAATAAGACCCATTCTGGATAAATTGGTTAAAAATTTTAATTGTATTCCGATGTCTGAACACGTATGTGTTGACGAACAAATAATACCATTCAAAGGAAGACACAGGCTAAAACAGTATATGCCTAAAAAACCTAAAAAATGGGGCTACAAAGCTTTTTTGTTGTGCGATTCATCAGGACTCATTTACAATTTTGAAATTTACACCGTCAAAGTGATACATGATCACGAATTACCTGATGTTGGAAGTAGTGGCAATGTAGTATTACGCTTATCAAAAATTGTACCCAAGCAATTATTTCACAAAATCTGTTTCGA